ACTTAAAAGATAACAAATAAGAAACCTTCTTTGTGAGGTTGTTTATCTTTTTTGAAAGTTTCAAAGTCTATTGTTGCAAGTTTGGATTAACAACCTTTTTAAAAAAGCAAAGCTAAAATTAAATGATCAAAATAAGATACTTTTGTTTTTTCTTGAAAACTGAATCTTTAACTTTCAGTAAACACTTAAATTATATGTAGTCAGTTTTAGTAATGAAACTACCCTATAATTATTTTAAATTAAAGACCCCAATGTGGTAGTGAACCGGGTCTTCTAATCTATCAATACAAAACAACACATCAATAACATCACAAAATTAACAAATTACACAACATATTACAGTAAACACTAAATTACTCAAACCGTAAAGAGGGATCGAGAAATTAGCTTGTTAGAGTTATTGGCAGTATAATTCATAAATGAAGGCTCAATTGAAAATTTTAAAATCAGTTTAAGTAAAAGGGTTATTGTGTTATCCAGGATTTATTATTCATATTTTAACTAATAACAGCACACACATTGAAAAACACTTACAAAATTTTATTGTGCCTTATATAGCACATAATAAAATACATCACTACATCATATGACACACAAATATACTTTTCAAAAACTAAAATTAGAAACATTTAGAAACACAACATATGTGAAGTTTTCATTCAATGACATACCTTGTCTATGCATGTTTATATGCAAATCTTATGCAGGTGTTATGCAATCGACTTGTTATGCATGTATAATGCAAGTGACTCGGTTTTAGAACATGCTCAGTAGAATTGGTTGTATGAAAACCAAGGCTTTTTGAGATTAATAGCAGCTTTATTAAATGTTTCACCCTGACCTTTTTTCATTGTCATTGATTAATGTTAATAACTATTTAGAGGGAAGATACTAATTATAAAAAATCTAATATATTAAAAAAACAATTAAAAAAAACAACAAGTAATCAATGTATTGAGCCAAGTACAAGTGTGTAAAACAATTTTCTTGTTATAGCAGAAGAAGCTGCAGCTACATAAAAATTAAAACTACAATAAAAGCAATCAATCAATGCAAGAAGCCAAATATAAGTATATAACTATTAAGTGTAAGTAAAACAATAAATTATTGTACTCTCTTAAACTTGATTTACTACATTGATTGATTGAGTTAAAATAAACATTTGTACAACGCTAAGATTACTTATTACATATTTCAAGAAATATGCAATTAAAAAATAATCATTAGAAAAACCTTTGTGTAAAACATCTTTTTAAACTAAAAATTTTTATAAATTTTTTCATAATTTTTTGAAATTGTTTATTCAATAACGTTTGATGGCATTTAGATTAGCTTATTTTGCATAAAAGTCAAATTTAATTTTTTCACCTCAAGCTTTTTAAAAAATGGCTACAGTATTATAAAATAGTACTATAACATAAAAGCAATCAATTAATGTGCTAAGTCAAGTATGAATACAACAACACTTGTTGAGCCAGAAGAAGCAGTTAGAGCTGTATATATATATAAATATATATATATATATATATATATATATATATATATATATATATATATATATATATATATATATATATATATATATATATATATATATATATATATATATATATATATATATATATATATATATATATATATATATATATATATATATATATATATATATATATATATACATATATATATATATATTTTTGTAGATATATATATATATAAATATATATATATATATAATATATATATATATATATATATATATATATATATATATATATATATATATACATATATATCAGGCTTGGTCGGGAAGCGGGAGCGATCGCTCTCGATTGCTGACCACGTAAATAATATTTAGTTGCGAAAAGCTGGCCAGATTTTTTAGTCGTTTTGAGAACATTTTAAAAAGCAAAAAAAAAAAGCGACTAAGATTAATTGGACCGATGAGAGACAATTACAAAAAAAAAAAAAAGGAGGCAAATAAAGTATCTTTAAACGCAAAAAAACTGTAAGCTAAATAAATTTCATTTAGAACAAATATTTACAAAACATCGCTTTTTTATAAATTTTTTTTATAAAATTAGGCAATTTTTTTAAATATAAAGTAACAACTTACGATTGTTTAAAAGGGAAACAAATATTCTTTATTTAACTAAGTTTGCAAGTTTTAGTTTTACTTAAGCTTAATTTATTTTATAAATAAAAAAGTTAATTTTTTTAATACCTATTTTATGTTTCGCGTAGTTTGAAAAGTTTAATATATTTGAAGCGATTCTTCTTAGTAAGATAAACGAATAAAATAATTAAATCATTGAATTACTATAGGAATTAAATTATCAAAATAGAAAACAACTAAAAAGGTTAAAAATACGTAAGGACCAGGAAGCGAAACTGCTTCACAATATCGCTGATGATGATTATTGAGTGGGTTTTTAATTTTAATTAGTATTTAAAGTAGAAAAAAGTATAACGAGTTTTAAGAATGGCAACTTAAGCGAAAATAATTAGAGCTAGTAAACCAATATCTAGAAACTCTTCTTTATATCTAATTATTTGCTATTATATATTTGTGTTCTGTCGTGACCTAAGGCGCGATGCTCGTTCATCCGCGAGTTACTTTGTGTGAGTTACTTCTTATGTTTGTTACATAATTAGTTTTATTAACTTTTACGATTGTAAATTCATTGAAAACGCAATTATTTTTGTAAGTCTTTGTTTAAATCATAAAAATTGCTTTAAAAGATACATTACGATAAAAAACAAATACACTAAATTACGTTTACATAAAGAATACAATCTCTTTTAAAATAAAAAATAAGAATATACTAATAAAATCTATAATTTATAATAAACTTTTAAAATTTTAACAATTTAATTAATATGTATTTAAAACATTTATTTTCGTAAACAAATAATATATATTCTTAAAACAATACTAGAAATATCAAAACGTAACAAATCGTGAATAATACAATTTCTAAAACATTTTAACAGAATACTCTAGAACTTTATTTCGCTTAATCAGCGAACCAACAAAATTAGTTTGTTTGTTAAATTGGCGGGTTTTTAGTGTTCGCAAATATTCTTTTTATTCTTTCGCACGAAGATAATTTGAGAACATTCTAGTTTATGATGTTTCCATGTATGTCCGTAAAACAAAAATTCTTTGTTTTGTACATAAACTTAAATGTTCTTAAAACGACTAAAAAACCTGGCCAGTTTTACGCAACTAAATATAATTTCCGTGGTCAGTATTCGAGAGCGATCGCTCCCGCTTCCCGACCAAGCCTGATATATATATATACATATATATATATATATATATATATATATATATATATATATATATATATATATATATATATATATATATATATATATATATATATATATATATATATATATATATATATATATATATATATATATATATATATATATATATATATATATATACATATATATATATATATAAACACAATAATACTACATTCTTGCTGCAAACTCCTAAGCCAAGTCATAACACTTTAAAGCCACGGAAACAACATAACTATTTACACATTACACACATTGAAGCCCTTTTAATATTACTGGTATTTATACATTTATGACACAGAATTTTTAATTGCATCAAACTATCTAATATAAAACTTAAGATCTTATAATTGATTCAACATATATTACAGATTTTAATAGAGATAATAAAGATTTAAGAAAACATTATTATGTGGTCAAAAATATAAAGTGATATATTATATGGTCATGCATAACGAATCTTTTTTAAAAACTCAGAGTCAAACACACACAAATGAGAAGCAAAAGTAAATATTAATTTAAATATTAATTATATAGGAGTAATTAGATTGTATTTAGGACTGAAAGTTTGTCTAACAGCAAACCTATAACTATAGTACTGGGACAATGTAATACAATGCTCCAATAAATTTTTATGATCATTTTCCTCCTCTACTTCTACCATGGTTTTATACGCACAAGCAAACAGGTTTTCTTAATTATTTAAAGTTTGTAAAGCCTGCATTAACTCATTTATACAACCATTATTACCAGGTTGATCCATTCTGAATGAGACTGCTATATTAGGATTATATTTGTGTAACTGACAATACATAGTTAACCTACTTCAGGCCTTAAATTTCTAACGCAATGCATAATTTGTCTATAAATCATAAAACAGAAAGGGCAATTATTTGAGCGATGAGATATTTTGGCTGTGAAGGAAGCAAACAATAAAAAGGAATTATAATACCTATCCTAATATCTTATACTTCTACAGCAGTTTATTTCAGCTCATCTAGGCTCATCTCGTCCATTTCAACAACAATTTACATAAATTGATATAATCTTTATAACTGATTAATGTTATATATTTATTGTAGTTATTTAAACTTATGTAACCCTTTTTACACATACCTTTATAATCAAACAAACAATAAATTTAAGTTAAACATATTTAATGAGAGGAATAAAGACTCTTAAAGGTTTAAATGGCAAGAAGCTATTTACAAAAAAGAGCGCAGTTTTTTAATAAAATATATCATAAAAAGTTTAAATTGTTAATAAAAAAGAACAGAGTATTTATCTTTTAATTAAATTTACTCGAAAAGTAATAGTATAAAAAATATTTAATGAAGTATAAATCTGTTCAATAAAATTTACTTAAAATTACAAATATTAAATAAGTTATAGACATAAAAAAACTATATATCTTTTTAACATTTCTTATAAACATATTTTTTCAACAATATTTTTTCAACACAATTTAAGAATACACTAATTACAAACCAATTTAATTTATGTTTTTCATCATGACAGTACACCACTCTACTGTCAAGAACAACATTTTTTCCCGTATACTTCTGCTTTAATATTTTTTCCCGTATACTTCTGCTAAATATAAGTTATAATTTTTAAGAATATTTAGTAACCAATTTTGAAATGTTTTTTTTTTCTCATTATGACTTTCCTTTTACTATGTTTAGGTTTATCTTCATATTCTGCCACTAGTAAGTTTTTAGTTTATATTATTTTTAAATTGTAATACATTAACTGCGAGTGTGAAGTTTTCTATTTTGTGCTTTAATTCATTCTTTTTTTTTCATTAGTCTCGTCAACAACTACCATTTCCGGTAATTTTATAAAATTTTTTAATTTTTAATTTGGTTGTAAAATAAAGCTGTAATTTTTTACTTCATTTTCTTCATTTACTCAAACCATTTGTTTCAGTTTTAAACAGTAAATAGTGATTTTGTATTTAACCATTAAATAGAAAAAAGTTACAAAAAATTAGCAATAAAAATCTAGAAGTACAAGACTGGGGCAAGAAGAAGTCAAATTTTGTCATATTTCCTGCGCCTTAAAATAAAAATTTCAATTAGAAAAATAATAGTATAGTGTAACTTCAAATAAAAAAACCACAAATATTATGCTATGTAACATTTTAAAATTTTCCAAAAAAATATATGCAAATAGAAATATAACAGAGTTTTAATACTACTTAAATTATTTTTTTTAACTCTTTAAAAAGTGTACTAGGGGTCCGTTTATTTATTGAAAATGATGGTTAACAAAAATCATCAATCATATGGTATGGAAACATCTGACAATCAAGTGTTTGTGGTTTAAATTGTATAATTCAAATATATACACGCCTACTTCAAATTATATTCAAATATAACCAATTTAATTCAAATATAACTAATTTAATTCAAATATAACTAAATTAAAATTGTTTATATATTGTTTACTCTATTTTATTCGAATTTTTGATAAATAATAAAGTCATTGTTATAACTTTTTAATATTCATGAAAATATGCTTTCCACTTTTCCCGTCATTAACTTTAATCAGATTATTAAGCTGAAATTTAGTTTTATTTCTGTTTTAAACAAGTATAGAAATTATTAGGTCATGTAAATTTTCAACTATTTTAAATCTTGTTTAATAATAAAAAATAATGGTATTCTCATTACATTTTTTATTTAAATTTAAGTTTAACTCTTGTGTATAATATTAGTTTTTGTATATTTGTTTACGTTTTTTTATTTTTACAAAAAGAAGCAATGGTAATACCTGTTGATACTAAATCAGTTTTATATAAATTTAAAGAAAAATATTTAAATTTTCTAACTACCATATGTTGGAGTCTTGGTTTCATTTTCATTATTGTACTTTGTGCTTTTTTTTGTTCAATGCAAAATGACATAAAACTATATATATAGACTGTTAGATAAGATTTATTTATTTGAATAGCAAATGAATATATTTACTTACTCCAGCATCAAAACAACATGGTTGGTGCACTATTGTGAAATTAAATACTCTAACTGTGTATCTATTTTTCCTCACTTACAACTAACAAGTTATCGTAAAAAAATTACTTAAAACCATGCTTAAAGTCCATCGTATTTATGTCATGCTTAAAGTCCACCGTATTTAATAAAAACTATGACTTTAAACTTATTTAGTTTATCTTTAATGTTACGTCTTAAAACAAATTTTTTTTTTTTAAGATATTGATAAGAATTTAAAAACATAAATGTTTTGCTTTTAAATAATGGTTGAATAAAAAAAAATCAAAGTCATTGTCGTCATTAGGTGTGACCATTTTTTACGGTTTATTTATTTTTTTAATTGAAAAAAAATCTTATTTTTAAAGGCAATGTAGCATAATAATTAGTAAACAAAATTTAAAAGTAAAACCTTTAAAAATAAGCTCTTAATTTCTTTGGGCATATTTGCGGTTTTTTTACGTTTTCTTAGTAACTTTATCTCGAGTAATTTCTGAGTAAATTTATCTTTCTAAGTAACTTTATCTCGAAAAATGAAGTAATTTAAGTTTGTTTGCCATTGTATATGTATATTAGTCCTTATATTTTTTAGCGACATATCTTTCTCTGAAACTTTTTCCCATTTCATTGTAGGAAACGTTTTTATAAAAATGGACGTTTTTGTATTTTAGTTTTAAACGATTTTTTTAACTATTTTCAACAAAATCGAACAGCAATATTATATTTTACGTAGTTTTTTTTTTTCATCTTTTCAATAGACGTAGTGCCGCACGTCCAATATTTTCATATTTAACTGCTAAAGTTTGTTAAATTAATTTGATAATCATTGCTTTAGTTTGTGTGTATTAATCTTTAGAGTTTTTTTTCACGACCAAGTTACTTTTTCTTCTAAATTTTAAAGTATATAAATTCAATGCTTTTATGTACTACTATTTACGAAAGGTTGCTTATTATTCACTAAATTAATATACTTTAGTCGCGCAAACTTCTGCTTTTGATCGTTTAAATATAAAATTTATTTATTAGGAATATACAATTGTCTATTTTTTTTTTTTTAATATGACTTTTGTTTTATTATATTAAGGTTTATCTTCATCTCCTACCACTAGTAAGTTTTTGTTAATGTTATTTCCAGACTGTAATACATTAACTGTGAATGTGAAGTTTGTTTTTTTGTTGCTTTAAATCATTGTTTTTTTCATCTTTAGTCTCACCAACTACTGCTAGACCCGGTAAGTTTATAAAATTTTTACTTTTTAATTTAGTTGTAAAATAAAGTGATTATTCTTTTTATTAATTCCTTCATTCTTTTACTCAAACCACGTGTTTTTGTTTTGAACCGCAAATAATTTTTTTATTTTACTTTATTTATTTTATTTTTTTTATTAAATAATGAATTATTATACCATTAAAAAGAAAAAAGTTACAAAAATAAGCAATAAAAATATAGAAATACATGGATGGGGCGATATAAAGACAAATTTGGTCTTATTTTCAAGTCCCTCAAAATAAAAAATTTCAATAAGAAAAATACAATTGCAACGTAACTTCGTTCAAATAAAACACAAATGCTTAGCCTAATACCATTATAATATTTAAAAAAAAAGTATATGCAAATATAAATATAAATAATATGAAAAAGTTCCAATACATTATTTTGAGTTTTTTTTAAATTTTTTAGAAAATATACATAAAGTGTTTGTTTAGATACTAATATAATGTATATAATGAATTGCCATGGAAACGGTATAAAAATATTGACAATGTTTTAATTGTAGTTTAAAATTGTATAAATCAAATTTAAAAACCTACAGTAATTTATTCTTACAAGCTTTTTAATTTTTTTTGCAAAACAAAATAGTAAACAAAGTGCTTTTTATTTTATATTCGAGTTTCTGATTAATAATGAAATCAATATTATAATTTTTCATATTCTTGAAAACGTGCTTTACTGTTTTCCAGTCACTAACTTTAATCAAACTATCAATTTAAACTTAGCGTTATAAAGAAGTAACATCTTAAACCGAGCTATTTTTAATTACTTATGTTTCACTTTATGATTACATATATTTTTCAATAAAAATTTTTAATAAGCCATATCAGAAAACCCAAAATATAATTTTTTTTTTCTAATAAAAATATAGAAATAATAATAATATTTTATAGTATTTTTATGTCATATAATTCAATATAAACAAATATAAGGCAGAATAGAATGCAACTACTTGATCGACTGTTTTCTGAATCCGAAATCTTACCTTGAATTCATGAAACCCTAGTTTTATAATCTCCATTAACAGTTTTTGTTTCCTTGAGATATGATGCTGTGTCTCTATAAAAAGTTATTTGAGAAAAATTTTTTTTGAACTAAATAACATAACATCGTAATATTTGTAAAATTAGTTGCTTTTGCAGGTACATACAACAACGTAATATTATGATAACTTTTGCGAATAAATGAAAATATCTCAAAAAACATGATATTTTTTTGGCATTTACCTCTCAGTAGTTAAAAATATTTTTTTGAAAACCTATTTTTTTGTCATCGATTACTTATATTGTAGAACCAGGCGCTGGTGCGCGGGGGTGACTGGACTATAATAAAGTTTGCAAAAACTTAATAGTATATTATGCTGGATAAAAAATAAAAGAAGCTGTTTTTGCAGTATTTGTCAAGCAATAAGAAATTAAAAGCCTAAAAGTCGATTTATATGTTGCTTTGACATATCATTTTCTGTTTTAAACTTTTTTGTTTCAATAGGCTGGGCTTAAGAGCAAAAATTGATCTTACTGCCTATTTCTTTCTCAGAATCTGGTAACAAAACAATTTTAAGAGGCCAAATATTATAAACTAATAAATAAGACAAACAATTATACTATTATTATACTACAATGGAAAACATCTCAAAATATACATTATTTTAATTTATGTTTTGCTTTTTTATGCATTTAATAGTATGCATTATCACCGCAGTATTCGATATTTGCCATAGTATTCGCAAGCATATTTTAATTCTTTCCCTACTTGAAAATGAGCTCTGTGGTATTGTCAATTGGTAAACGAAAGTTGCTATATATATATATATATATATATATATATATATATATATATATATATATATATATATATATATATATATATATATATATATATATATATATATATATATATATATATATATATATATATATATATATATATATATATATATATATATATATATATGTATATATATATATATATATATATATATATATATATATATTTGTTTCACAAAATTTTCTTCAAATAATTTGAAGTTTGATGTCATAACATGAACAACCTTGTTTTTCAGTTTTTATGTATAAAACGAAATGTTGTCTGTCTCTAAAAATATTTTTAAAATTTTTAAAGATGCAATTTACAAGTTTTTCTATAAACAACTTTGTTGTACCTGATTTTTATTAAAATCTGAAATTTTATTCTTTTCAAAATTGCGGGCTACTTCTTTTCAAAATTTTTCTAACTACTGCTGCCAAAAAAATTATTTCTTAATTAGTTTAAAATATTATTAAAGCGGTTTTTATTACAAACAGATATTAGATTTCTTGAATCTTTTGATATAGATCTATAATCATCTTAAATACTAAAAGCTATCCTATATTCAATTTAAAATAAATTTAAACTGTTGTAATTTTAGAAACTAAACTAAATATTTACTGACATTACTAAATATCATCATTTGGAATTATTTAAACTTTGAGCTCAGCGACAGGACAAACACAATTTCTTCCTCTTCCTTTTGCTCCGGTTATTAAAATTTTATATATATATATATATATATATATATATATATATATATATATATATATATATATATATATATATATATATATATATATATATATATATATATATATATATATATATATATATATATATATATATATATATATATATACATATATATATATATATATATATATATATATATATATATATATATATATATATATATATATATATATATATATATATATATATATATATATATATATATATATATATATATATATAAAAGGGAAACTAAAATATTCAAAAATTGAGTTTGGGTGGACGTATTATATAAATATATAAATAAGGTATGCAAGTGCCTTTTCGTTACCTATCTTGTTATTTATGTTTAAATTTTAGAAAGAAAAAAAAAACTTTAAAAAAATTTTATAAAAAACTTTTTGTATTTAAATATAAATATAAAACAACTTCTCAATACGTTACAACTACATTTTAATAACGTTACTTACAACTCTGACTTCTAAATAAAATATCTTGGACAATATCTGTGGAAATCTTTTTAATATTGAAAACGAAACAAAAAAATTGTCGATATATTTAGAAAAACTATAAAAAACTCCAAACATAAACCAAAACATATCTTTCTTTTTCATTGTTGTTTAATTTTAAATTATGTCATTTTGAAGCAGAGCAGAGGCAATCGTATTTTTTTCTTTGTTAGAAACGTCTTTATATAACAAAGAAAGAATTACAATTGCAGAATCTAGACACTAGGAATATTTGTAAAATGATTTCAATACTGCTTCAACTGCGTCTGGTTAAGCACAAACCTCTTGGTATAGCTGTATTTTATGTAATGATAAAATATCTAGATATGGTGCTTTAATAGCCTAATCAGATAGCAAACACCATTTTGCACAAAAACATGCTATGAATTCCGCTATGATATTTATTTCTTCTAAAAGTATTTTATCTTCCTGAACAAATTTAATTTGATTAGAAGGAAATTGCAGTTTTAGATAATATATGGCTTTTCTGAGGAGCATTGCATGGTGTACGGCTCTTGGTTACCTAATTTTTAAACCTTCAGAAGACAAATAAGCAACAACTCGCTCATCTAGTTCTTTATTATCGTCTCCTAAAACTTTCTTACTTTTAGTATATTCTTTGCAAATATTTAGAGACTTAAGCACATTCAATAACAGTTCATTTTGTCTTACCCCAAAGAAATCTGAAAAAATTTGTATAATAATGAAGAGCAGGAGTTTAAAATATACCTTTGAGTTTCTTAAATAAAATAATCTATGATCCAGATGTCTTTCTTTGAGTCACAATATTACAAAAGTAAACAATCTTCAGCTCTGATATGTGGTGTGTACAAAAAAAAAATATTGGATAGATATCTAGATTATTTGCTATTCTAAAAAGGAAACGCTTTTTATTCCTAGCGCTACTTGAAGTTATATCAAAGCATAGCCCTTTGATTTTTCCTTTGGTTTTATATTCCTAGAGAAAATTCATCACACCTTTATACTGATCCTCCCCTGATGAAGACGCTAGAGAAAGGTACTCCGAGAAAATAAACCTCTCCATCAATCTTTAAAAGAACTGCTAATATGTCATTTTTTATCGCTTGACTCTTTTTAATTCAAATAAAGTTTTAACAATCAAAATGAGAGGTGGATATTTCAAGGTTTTCAAAGAAGCTTTGATGTTATTTCTGGCTTGTTTACTTGTTATTAATTTTACTTTTTTCATATGAAACGAGGCTGCTGAAATGCTGCAATCTAATTTACTTACACCCACACCAGCTTTATTAACAACAGAAGTGACAACTTTCTACAGAACTACAGGAGATATATCACTGATTGATGCTGGAAGAGCAGCACTACCATTGTAAATATCTTTAGGAATTGTACACGTAATTGGTTTTTCATTTATTTTTTCTTTTGTCCAGTCTCCAGGTTCAATATCTAAATCATTCAACATTTCTGTATCATTTTTATTTAAAATTAGTTTTGGAAAAACTAGTACTAAAATCTAAATTTGCTTTAACTTTCAGAGTAGTGTGTGTGTGTGTGTTTTTTTAAACGTTTTTAAAATACTCTCTCTAGACATTTTACTATATTTTTTATTTTCGCTTCTAAGAATAATCTTTCTATGGTTTTTCTGATCATCTAAAAGCTAATCATTTAATCTTTTCTTGTCGATTATAAGGGTATACGTAGGATTTGGTGTACCAATCCAGAACACTCTCTTATGCTTTTGTATAAAACCTTTTTTTTTTTTTTAAATCTGTAGTTGATCCTCTTTTTTCATGCTTTTTCAAATTGTAGTTTCTTTTTCTTGAATACTTAGATGCTTTCTAAAAGTTCTTTCTGAAAGTATTGGAAATCCAGCTTTATTCCAAGGAGCTTTAATCAAATAAAATATTACTTGCATTTACTAATTTTGCACTGATTCTCCTTCACCTTTTTAGGAATGCAATATAGTATTGATGAATTTTTCGCATTTGTTTCCAGTGTTTATTTTATGTAGTAAAAGTTTATTAGTATTTCCATTTCAGTTGGAAGTTGAATACCTTATTAATATAAAAAAGAATTTATTGATATGTTATATTATTGCTTCTAATCGTGATGTGTTATAATAATGCTAACATAATTACAATACTTTTTTAATTATTATAAAATTTATTTTTCTAGAAAAAACAATAATTTCATTCTTTATATAAAGTACACGTGTATGCATTAAATAATGCATAAAAAGTATAAATTTAGTCCAAAAATAAAGAGTATATAATCATCAAACGAATTTGTTTCATCTGTCATAGCTATAATAGGTTCTCAAACAGAAAAAAAAAACTTTTTTTTTGACCTAAGCTCTCTTTTTTTATATGCTTTTATTTTCTTTAATGTTCATCATAAAACCTAAAATAAGTCATAAAATCTGCATAAATGTTTTAAAAAAATATTACTTTTAAAAAATAATATTATTGTATTTTCAAAAATAAAATTACAGAGAAAAAGAGTTCAAACATACCTTTAAATTCAAGAAAACTACAAATTCTCTAATTTCATAAAATTAGAGAATTTGTCTATATTATCAACAAAAACTTCAAAAAGACAATAAGTATTTTCATTTATTTATTATAATCTAAACAAGTAAATTTGTTATGGCCATACAAATACAGTAAAATAATAATAAAATAAGATAATAGTTGATTAAAAACAAAATAAAAGCAATAAAACAAAGTTTTTCATTAATCTTATGATTTGCGGAAAAATAATTTATTTTTTTACAATTTTTAATACTATTAAACACAATAAAACTGCAAAAGTTGGCAAATTCTGCCTTAAATACCATTTTTATTTGAATATATATGTACTCTAAATTTTTTATTTTTCTCATTATTTTTTTTTTTACTATATTTAGGTTTATCGTCACCTACTGCCACTTGTAAGTTTTTAGCTAATATTATTTCAAAACTGTAATGCATTGTGAGTGTGAAGTTTTTTATTTTGTTGATTTACTTCATTTTATTTTTATCTTTAGTCTCGTCAACAACTGCTAGCCTTGGTAAGTTTATAAAAATGTCACTTATTAATTTAGTTAGAAATTAAATAGATCATTTCGTTACTTATTTTATTAATTCTTTTACTCAAATTATCTGTTTCAGTTTAAAACAGCTATTATTATATCTATATATCTATATAACTATATGTTTTGTTTTTTCCCTTCATTTTTTTTTATAAAAAGATTTTGCTTTCTTGTTTTCCCGTCACTAATTTTTATTAAACTCTAAAGCTGAAATTAGCGTATTAAAAAAGTAACATTTACCACTCAGCTACTCAAAATAACTTTTGTTTTAAGAATTACAGCAACTTAAAGTTAGTTGTTTTTTGACTAAAAAAAGAGGGGGGATAAAGCCAGAAATATGTTAATTTACCATTACCCTTTTAACAAACTTGTAGTAATGTTGCGAAGCTAAAACTTGGTACCAAAGGAGTTTTAAACCTGTTGAATCTTAAAATCATAAACTTTTATCTCTCAAAACAATAAAATATAGTTTATTTTTAGATTCACAAAACGCACTTGTTATTGACAATAAAAAAGGCCATTGACAACTATAGTTCTACAAAAAATCTGACTGATGAAAAAAAGTTTTGGTTTTCGCTATTTGAAATATTAAACATATATCTACTTTGCGAATCAATTTTTATTTGACCTTAAGTTTTATCAAGAAGTTATTGATGTTTTAGTTTTTCAATTTTTTTAAAAATATTTTGCGCAAAAAAAAATTTTGCAAATATATTTTAAATGCAAATACAATTATTTTTAATTTGTAATAGCTTTGTAAAAAATTTACAAAGTTATTACAAAACATAGTTGAACATTTTATAAATTTGTTTCTTTTTACTTTCATTACATAATAATAGTTTCATTTTTATTACCTAATATCATGTCATTAAGTTTAACAATATTATGTAACTTTTGTTATTGATTGTTTTGTTGTAATAAAATATTTATTATCATCATTAAAAAAGAAATAAAATGATATAATGATGTCTAATTAACATTAACATGTTAAGTTACTTAACTAAATAAAATTGTATTTATTTATCTTTTACTTTTACACAACTTTTTGTAAGTAGTTAATGGAGAATTTACAATAACTAGTTGATAGTTAGGCATTTAAAATATACCTATTAAACTAATAGCTACTTGTTCAAGCAACATGTTCTTTACAAATACATATTGACATGATATTGTTTGTGTTCAAGTGTACTTTTCTTGCTAGGGACATTAAGATTATTTAAGATTTCTTGTATTAAGTATTTAGACAGAGATTCCTCATTGTATTTTTATATGGATAACAAAATTAATTGCTGCTTTGTGAATAATTATGGAGCTTGTTATAAACAACCATATACTCAAGAAAGAAATCTGATTGAAGATATTGACAGCAATGATCGTAAGCTACTTAAATAACGAACAAATCTGAAATAAGAACAAATTACTAATATATGCACACACCATATTGATATGTTAGTCGTAAGATATGAGGGTAATCAGAAAAATTGTTTTTACCCATTTCTGAGTCAACAAAAGGTGTGTAGAAGTAAAAATTTATATATTTATATTTCATTAGGTAATATCATTATTAATAAGTAATATAAGTTTTTTTGGTAACAAGATTTGTTCAATGTTTTATAGTTATTAATATAACAAATTGTATAGTAATATAATTACATAATATATATAATTAAAGTTGTTTAAGTAATGTAAATATTTTCTTCTTAAGCGTCTCTACGTGTGATTACAATGCATGTTATGTTAGAAGCAGAAATCATACGTTTAAGTCTTACACCTGCAAAAAAACTGTGTCCAACCTGTCGAAGTAAAGTTATGACATGTTTATCAAAAAGTATAAGTGAAAATAAAAATTATGAAGATTTTGATATTGTTAATGAAAGATTGATTCAAAATAAAAGGTGAAAGTGTAAATACACACTTTGCATCTGCCGGAGTATCTCCAATTAAGGTCAAAGGATAGCACAAGTCAGGTAAAATCAGAGAAGGTAAACGAAAATTGATAGCATTAACAACCTCTATTAAAAAAAAGTAGTTATTTCCCTTAATATATCAGAAAAAAGTTTTGAAGAACAGTCAAGTTTTAATAATGAGTATATGGAAAAAGCAAACTTGTTTGATAACATGATGGTATTGTTAACTAACAGACTTGCAGAGTCTACATCAACATCAAAAAAAGTATAACTTGCGACACTTGCTCCAACAGACTGGTCAATAAAAAAAGGTATCTGAAACATTGCATGTAACAAACTATGTAGCTCGAATTGCACGTAAGTTAATATTAGAATTTATGGATCTTAAAAAAAGTATTGTATTTTATGGATCTTAAAAAAAGCCTTAAATCCTAAAATTCCCTTGTTTTGACATATAAAAAATTATATTTTTTAGATTTAACAGGTTTTAAACTCTTTTGGTACAAAGTTTCAGAATCGTGGCATCACTACAAGCACCATATTAAGGTGAAAGTAAACAGAATGATTTTCGGCACTCCCCCCCCCCCCCTCTGTTTTTAGTCAAAACCAAGGAAACTTCAAATTGCTGTAAATTATAAACGGTAAGAAATTTTATGAAAAAAAATTGCAATCTTTCCTAACATATGTCTATAAACGTTTGTGCCAAGTTTCAAAAAATAGGGTGGAAATTTGCGTTTATTTGTGTTTTTTGAGGAATTTTTACCCTTAAATTAGTTTTTGTTTCCTCGAGAATAAAATCCGGCGAGTGTAAACAAGCATTTGAAGAAATTTATTTTAACTAAATAGCATAAAATCGTATTTTTTTTAAGATTCATTGTTTTTTTAGATATATACAACAATGTCATATTATATAGCTTGTATAAATTAATAAAAATTATCTCTACAAACATTGCATTTATTTTTGCATTAAGTCTCAGTAGTTGAATAAATATTTTTGAAAACCTACTTTCTATAGCAGTGAGTGGTTCTTCAAATTAAGTCACGAATGACTTATTTTGAAGAACCACACGCTGGTGCACGAAACATACTGGAATATAATTATATTTTTCAAAATTTATTAGTGCATCGCGCTGGATGAAAACAAACAAAACTTTTTTTTGCAACATTTTTCTAGCTTTAGGAATTTAAAAATATAAGTTGCTATGACATACCATTTTCAAAAAAGTACTTTTTTGTTGCTATAGGCTAGGCTCAAGGGGAAAATTTTTTTTTTCCTACTTGCTTAGAATCTGTAAACAACCCAGTTTTAAGTAGGAAACGATGGAAAGCATCTCTTTAAGAATAGCAAAATAGACAACATTCTGATGTATATTTTGCTGTTTTTATGCATTTAAAAAAATGCATCGTAATCAGACACTTATTTTGCATAAATTAATATATACATAAAAGGCATAAAATAGTATATACATAAAATAATATATATATATAAAAGGCATATGAATAGTATACATAAAATGCATATGGATAATCTTCGGTTTTCCTGTGTTTTGGTGATAAAATCTTAAAAAATAATCTTTAAGAGAGTTAATCACCGCAGTATTCGCAAGCATATTTTGATACTTTCCTTACTTGAAGTTTTATACGCACTGCGTATATAAAGTGTTCTTTCAACTCACTGGTATTGTCAATTGGTAAACAAACGTTGCTATATTTCTTCTTGCACATAGTTTCAATTTTTATTCTCCGATTGATATTTTTACATTGTTATTTTAAAACCCACAAAGTTGGCCAAAATCTTTATTATTTGAAATTTTTTAAAAGTCAGGAAGAATTGTTTGAATAAATTTTCTCTAAACAATTTGAAATTTGATATCTACTTACTAAAAAAGTTTGGCCGGATATACTATAGTAAGTATAGAAATTAGGTAAATAAGTGCCATATCGTTACCTATCAATGTTTGAACTCCAAAAAAAATAAAATAAAACTTTAAAATAATAAAATGGAAACATTTCCCTATTTAATAACAAATATAAATTAACTTACTCAATAAGTTAGCACAACATTTTACTAACGTCACTTACAAATTTGACTTTTTATTAACATTTCGTGGACCATGTCCACGAAATGTTAATAAAAATGGAATTCGTTTTCATATGGAAATCGTAAAAGAGAAAAAGATTTGTCGATATATTTAAAAGAACACGGTGGTTTAAGCATGTTATTTTATTGTGAGCATGCGCATAAGTTACATTTAAAAAGTTTTACAAAAAAAATGTCGACATGAGTTTTCGGCAAATAATGAAAATTTGTTTTTTTATTCCTTATTAAAAAGGTACTAATTTTTTGTCAATAAACAAGCACTCTACGTTTTTTGAATTTTATATCTTAAAGTGTTTTATCTAAATCATAAAAATGAATGAAAATGTTTGTAAACAAAAAATATCTCTGCTCAAAGTAAGAGGTTTTTAAAGTTTAAAAATTAAACATCTGTTAAACAACTTATAGAATATCTTTTTTTTTTAAATATTTTGGCCAAAAAATTTAATTGATTCAAATTTTGTAAAAAACGCTCGAAAAATCTGTATGTTTGGTTTTAACCGATCATTTTTTTAACTAAAATAAATTGATTTAACGGCAAACTATGTATAAAAATTCCATAAATTTGTTGCTTACTGGAAAAATTTCTTATCACTAAAAAAACCTAAAGTTGCACGAGGTTTGATGTTATATTATGCAAATCTACTTATTAATTATGCATGTTGTGAGATACATGTTTTTATTTTTTATAAGATAGCACTTGTAACAATTTACAGCGAAAACGTTTAAGAGATTTCCGACTTATAGAATTGCGCTTTTAATTACTGACACCGATATTTGCATATTTTATTGAGAAACTTTTACAAGATTTATGGTATTCAAAATATTGATAAGCAAATTTGTTTTTATTAATGTAAAGGGTAAACTATTATTACACAAGACTAAATGTTGTAATGCTAAAAAATATTCATTTAAAAGAACCAAAACTATATCCAACATTTTTTATTGTAACTTATAATTAAAAAACTAAAAAAAATCTGTCCCTCCGATAACCTTTAAACACAAATATAAGTAGTTTCTATTGGTGATACATTTCTTATGCAAAATGCAACCTTATAAACTATTGGATTATAGATCTAAGAAATTTTCAACAGTAGTTTTTTCAATATATACTCTAATTACTTAATTTGAGTTTGCGGTAATGGTGCAATTGAGAGCCATTAATATTATTTTTAAATAATTATAGATTTCTGAAGTATATACGGCTTAGTGAACCTTTTTATTAAAAGATTGGATTTTTAATACATTTTTGTATACAATAGTTTTTAAGATCTATGCAATTTTTTTTCTTTTTTTTATTTCTGGTTTCATAGCTTTAGCTATGAAACCAGAAATAAAAAAAAGAAAAAATCATAGCTTTAGCTTTATCCGAAAGGATGGTTTCTCAGAAAATGTTCTTTTTAAACGTCTACAGCCTTTCATGTGCCAAAACAAACGATTAAGGTTGTTAAATTCAGCATGCAAACTTTCGCCGCCTTGTTCCTCATAAACTCCAATACCTAGTCTCCATTTCTCAATAAATTGAATGACATGGGTTTCAAGCAAATGCATCTTCGCAGTTATAGATGCACTTGGCCAAGTTAACCGATAATACTCCATAAGCGTGCGGATTGCAAATTCTGAAAATAAATAATTTGAGTATAAAAAATATTTAAACTAATTAAATATCTACCTAAAAGCAATCAACGAGCATACTAAGCTCGTTTGCAATATTTGCTTTTCAATTAGCTCAACAATGTGTTAAACTCATCCAACAGATTGCTTATAAAGAAAACTTACCTAGTTCCCAAATATTATTATCTTGAAAAGATTGCGAGCTGTTCATGGAATTGTGACATTTTGAATAATAAAGAAATAACTGCTTAAATTTCTGGCTCACATTAATTGATAACAAATGAACATCAGTGCAACTAAAACCAAGAGTTGAAATTAGTTTTGGAACAAAATTGCACAAATCTAGCAACGGTTGAAGCTAAAAAAAATGTATTTGTAAAATTAAATAGTTTTTCAATATTTTTACTGTTCTGTTGCATTAGTTTAACATTAATTTAAATTATTTAAACTGATTTAATAAATACTGAATTCAGAAATTCTTTTTTTGTCGACAAATTCTAGTTTTTGCAGAATGAAGGGGTGGGGTGGGGTTTGGTACTTCAATTAAATTAAAATCTTAAAATGGGGGGAGGATATAGTAAATTGACTTAATTTGCTAATATCTGGTTGTTTAAAGCAAAAAAATGAGAAAGATAAAAGGCATCCTTATGTCAATAATTAGAAAGCCACATCAGGATTTTTCTCAGTAACCAGTTTCCCAGTCCACCCATGGCAGTTTGTTTAATAAATGCTGTTTTTCAGAATGAATGTTCTAAATATACGTAGATCCTTTTTTTTTTTACTATAATATATATACTATGAAACAAAAACCTTAAGCATTGTGTGAACATGGTTTCCATGGTTTCCAACAAAGCATTTTCCATGATAAGGTTGTCTTTCTACTTTATTAGCCTTCAACACCTCATCAAGTTGTTGAATGCAAGGACCTGAAGTTTTATCAAGAACGTTTGCTTCATTTAAAGAAATTAATTCTTTTATCTAGGAAAAATAAGTTTTTTAAATTTAAGCATATATCTAATTTTAACTTTTTTAAATATTTTAATTAACCAAAAATTTCATTTCAAATTTAATTCAACATTAAACATAATTCAAAACTACATTTTTGCAGTTACATAACAATCAGTACCTTATTGTTTTTTATTAAATCATAGTATATTATTCTTGGTGTAAATAAGTTCCTTATTTCTTCTGTTTTATCTGGCTCACATAAAACTTTTACAGATATTGTATCTTGTAGAAGTGCAATTTTATTGTCACAGTCTTCAATAACACTTTTTACAAGATTGGATTGGATATGCATGTTAACATATTTGTCAAAATCAACTTTACCAATCATATTATCTTTTAAAGCAAGTTCTATTGCAATTTTTATATCTATTAAGTGGCATTCGTCTTCAAATATCTTAAAAAACTTTAAATAGGTACCCAAAGATATATGTAAAGCAGGTACAGCAACCTAAAAAAAAATTGTTAGGATTATTAGACTAACAATTTCTAATGTTTATTAGACTACTAATATTAACCACAATATTGAACCACCACCAGTATTGAAAAGATTAAAAAATAAAAGTGCTAAATCATATTACCTGGTCTAGAGGAATGTTAAATAGCGTTTCATTAATCACATTGTTAAAAAATTTAGCATTTTTTAAATTTCCTCCATTACTTTGAAAACGATGAAAGTCATTGTTTAAGGAGTTTAGAGATCTTTGTGAAACATGTTCTCTGCATATTGTAGCCAGTTGGATATTTTTTTTGGTGATGTCACAAAAAAGACAGCAATGTCGACCTATGCATAACAAAAAAGCTATGAATTTAGTAAGGTGTTAATTAACTAAGTTTTCAAAGGTCTAAAGTTTTCTTGTCAAAGCCTTGTACTTACTTTTAAAAAAATGCTTTTTTGTGAGTCTAATAAAAGTAGAGCAAACTTACCACTAGCTTCTGTAATTCCATATACGCTGCAAAGGAAATTATAATCACCAAACATAAAGACACGAACACTGCGATTTCTAATTGAATTGTAAGTATAAAAAAATAATCAATAAAATAAATAAAAAGATTATAGTTTTACATAAATTACTATTACTCTTAATTTTAGACATTGTAACTTACTGCCATTTCATGTTTTGTATCTCATCAACTGGCAGTGTATAACGAGATATCCCTACTATAAGATTAGTTCGATAGTCATTTGCTTCAAATGTGCTAAACACAATAGAGTTAGATTTCGAGTTGGGTTGGTCTTGGTTAACTATTTGATAACTCATTTTAAATGAACCACCTCCATGGTTTCCCCCAATTATAATCTGGATCTCATCATTCTTTATTCCATTATATTTTATTAACTTGAAACTTAAAATAAAAAACATTAACATAAAAATAATAATTTCAACAGTTTAAACATCTTTGTACATTTAACTTAAAAGTTGTGCAAATGTATTAAACTTTATACCTTTCAATAATATTTAGCAATATTTTTAGGTAGATTATCTATATATGCCCAAGGAGCATGTTTGATTTCAAGACTACACTTGATATTTTAATTTTGAAATGTAAAATTTTCATCCAATACAATAAGATCATCTCTTGCCCAGGTCTTTGCAACAACTCTTTGTTTACTGTTAGAAGCAGTCTGGACATTTCTTGAATTTAACCATCTATAATATTTGGTAATTAACCTTTTTCTACATAATAATATTCTCCACATAGTAATATTTTACATTATCAGTGATGAACCTGGTTTATTTGGGGATACATTTTTTACAAAATAAATTATAAAGCTAACCCCTATTTTTAGGACTAAATAAACTAGGGCTAAACTAAACAGGTCATTTCTGATTATATAAACATCAATAATACATCATTAAATATTTCACTTTAACACATATTAACATAAAATTTACTTGTAAACATTACTCTTTTAATATTTGAAACTCCTTTAATTACTTGAAAAAATGTTTTACCTAGTCATTGTTTTTAATTTATTCCAGGGTATCCCTACGTCAGCTTTAAAAGCAACCAATTACTCGGCAGAATGTTGAACAATTCCAATGTTAGCATTTTGCAAATTTTTTTTTTTTGACAGTAATCAAATCATTTTAGCATAACTGCAGCTTGCATTACTTGTGAATTTTTAGAATTTCCAACCTGATGATTAACTTCCTCCATTAGGAGTCTGTGTCTTTTTTTAAGTGTATTTATACTGCATGATGCACTTTCCTTGTAAGCTTTAGGTGTTACAGTTAAGCAAAGAGGTTTTAAATAAAAAAAGTAAATCAATAATAATTATCAATAAAAAAATCACAATCTCTGTTAATACGTTTATTTTAAACTTTAGACTAATTTCTTTTTTTCTTTAAAATTCTATAAAAAAAAATTAAAATTAATTGAATTTCTTACTCTTGGCCCACCAGATGAAAACTCTATTGTTGTTGTTTTTTAATGCTCAAGTTTTTGCTTAATCACATGCACAACTGCAGCTTCGATATTTCGAGGGACATCACTTGATTCATTGACTATATAGAAATCATCAATGATTGTGCTGTGCTCGCTTTTTAAATGATCTTTTTGGCAATCATGAACCTCATATGTGTCCTTGAAAAGAACTTTTTTTTCACAAAGCTTGCATGCAATATATGAATGTTTTATCATTTCCAATACATGTACAGAACTGCAAAGGCTATTAACCATGATAAAACTTGAACATATAGGACATTTTGCTTCCTTTTCTAGTTTACCTTTAATAAGCAATGTAATGCATAGGCTACAAAAAAAAAGCTGACAATCTTTTATCATTACTGGTTGATGCATTATTTTTTCACAAATTTTGCAAATTCATAATGTTAAATGCGGATTTAGTTGAAAGTTTAATTCAGATAATTGATCTCGTTTCAATGGTAAAGGCAAAGCTTCGAGAAACAGATTAAGGGTAATTTGTGTCCATCTTTTAAAAGTTCCTGGCCTTCCAACATTTGGTTTTGGTTTTCGACCAGCTTTACCAAATACACAATCACACACATTTGTTTGACACTTTAACCATGCTTTTGGTATAGCCTTCAAAAGTTTACAACCACGGTTTTCTATATTCACCATTGTTGCATTGCATTTTAAACACATTTGTGTTGGGTAAACATCTAAACAATCTTCAGCAATATTTATTTTTAAAATATTAAAAATTCTTTCACGTCTACTACTGGTTTTTATAGAGTCTTTTTCCGCAAATCTGCAGACTCTCAATAATTTTTGCTGATGTTTTTCAGCCATCATCCAAAAAATATTTTTATAAAAACCTCTTGACTAAAAAATGAAAATATATATAAAAATGAAAATATATATAAAAACATAAAAAAATGATTGGTAAAAGAAACTAATATTTTTCGAGAGACAAAAAACAGTATTTTTATTAAAAACTAACCTAAGTATCATAAAAATTTTACGTCGTCCATAATTGGCATCTGTATTTAGTGTTATTTTAGGCAATATTTAAGTATAATGTTAAATAATTAAAGTAAATTTTTAAACATACTTTTCACTTTAATTTTATGCATAAACTAACACATCCATGTGAAATTCCATTTTAGAAGTCTAAATATTAGCAACCATTTCAATGTTGTCTTTTAAAACAGAAAACAATGTTGGAAGCTATTTAACAACTTGAACACGGTAAACATAAAATTTGAAAACTGAGTAGTTGTATCGGACGCATGCGCATAATAAAATCCCAAGCTTTCATAAGTATTAAATCACCGTGAGAACAATTAAAAACTTACTCCAACCTTAAACGAAACACATCTTTCTTTTTAATTCTTGTTTAATTTTTAATCTTTTTCTGTGACTATTTAAAACATCAATTTATAAAACGCTTACATTGCTGTTATTATTTGTTTGTTACTTTTATTTCCTTTTTTAAAAAAATAAACAAATCATTAAATCATTTAAATTGTCTATTTTTTTTTTTTTTTTGAATAATACAAAATCATTTTATTACGCATTTAAAGAGTAAAAACTTTATGAGCTTCAGTTGTTTTATTATTCTCATTATCTTTTTTACTTTAAATTTTTAGTTAAGCACTTTTTTATAAAATTAGATTTTGTATATTTATTTACGTTCTTTTCTTGTTTTACAAAAGGGCGCTATGATAATATGTGTTGTCTTTAGATCAGTTTTTATATAAATTTAAAGAAGTGTATTTAATTTTTCAAACTACCATATAGTGGTTTCTTGGTTTGTTTTTGTTAAGTTAATGCATAATGACGTTTGATAATACATAAAGTGTTATAAAAGATTTATTTATTTGAATACCAGATGAATATACTTATTTACTTTATGATCAAAATAACGTGGTTGGTAAACTAATATGTAATTAAATACTCTAACGGTGTATTAGTCTTTTCCTCACTTCCAACAAGTTTTTGTAATAGAAATACCTTAAAGTCATGCTTCAACTTATATAACAAAAAGTAAACTTTTGAATTTTTTGTTTTTCCTAAATTTTACTTTTGAAAAAAAATAAGTCGCTTTTTTTACAGATATTGAGAAGATTAAAAAGTGGACTCTTTTGACTTTTAAATAATTGTTGAATAAAATTATCAAGGTCTGTGTCGTCACTGAGAATGACATTTTATCTAAAAACTTAACTAGTATATATTTCTCTGGTTCATTAATTTATTTTTTATAATTGAGAAAAAACTTTATTTTTAAAGGCAAATAAAAAGCATAATAATTAAAAAATATATAGCATAATAATTAGTAAACAATACTTAAAAGTAAGGCCTTTAAAAATTAGCTCTAGCTTTCTTCCCGCTTATTTGCGGTGTTTTACGTTTTCTTTCTTACTTTATCGCGCAAGTCTAAGTAGTTAAGCTAATAAGCTAAAAGATATATGTAATTTATTCCATATGTTTTTTAATGAAAGCAGTTATTTTACGACTTTCGTATTTTTTATGCATGTTTTTGTCAACTTTGAACATACTTAACTGCTATAGTTCGTTAAATTAGTTTGGTTATGATTGTTTTAGATTAAGTCTGTTATTCATTAGAGTCTTTTTTTATAAAAGATTCTCATTTTATAAATTTTTTCGTTTTAAAGGTTAGTAAATTCAATGCTTTTATGTGCCATATTTTACGAAAAGTTGTTAGTTATCTACTAATTTAATATACTTTCAATTTATTGCTTGTTTCGCAACGTTATTTTAGTCTCGTATACTTCTGCTTTTAATCGTTTAATTATAAAGTATAATTTTTAAGAATATATAGTTGCCAACTTTAAATTTCTTTTCTTTTCTGATTATGTTTTTTGTTTAACTATACTTAGGTTTATCTTCATCTCATGCTACTTGTAAGTTTTATGTTAATATTATTTCATAACTGTAATACATTAACTGCAAGTGTAAAGTTTTCTACTTTGTTGCTTTAATTGATTGTTTTTTTATCTTTAGTTTTGTCAACAACTGCTAGCCCCGGTAAGTTTATCAAATTATCACTTTTATTTTGCTTATAAAATAAAGCGATCATTCTTTTACTTGTTTTATTCACTCTTTTACTTAAATCATCTGTTTTTGTTTCTAACAGCTAATATGGTTTAAATACATATATATATATATATATATATATATATATATATATATATATATATATATATATATATATATATATATATATATATATATATATATATATATATATATATATATATATATATATATATATATATATATATATGTATATATATATATATATATATATATATATATATATATATATATATATATATATATATATATATATATATATATATATAGAGAGAGAGAGAGAGAGAGAGAGAGAGAATTATTTTTGATTTCACCATAAAAAAGAAAAGTTACAAAAAATAAGGCAATAAAAGTCAACTAATACATGGCAAGGGCAAGAAGGTGACAAATTTTGTCTAATTTCAAGCCCCTCTAAATAAAATTTTATATAAAAAATTTTCTTCGCATTTTTAATGATAAACTTAAATTCCTTTTAAACTGCACAATGGAAAAGTTAAGGACTGATTCAAAACGGCATTTACTAAATATGGACTTCAATATTTCAGACTTTGAATAAATATTTTGAAAATAATTGTTTGAGTTAAAAAACTATTTTAAATCTGTACTACATTTCTTTAACTTTATTTAGTACTTTCTTTAACTTTCTAATTTTGTTTGTTTTTATTGTACTATATTGTGTTTTTGTTGATAATAAATAATTAGTAATAAATATTTACTAACATTTCATTATTTATAATAAAACAACGGCATTTTTTTGGATCATTTTGGTTATCTATCTTTTGTTTCATTTTATCACTTCAATTATTCCGTTGAAGTATACTGTTGTTAAAAATTTATATTTTTTATTTTGAAAGTTTTTTTGTGTATATACTATTGCATTGATTATTTATTGCGCATGTAAATATTTAAAACGTTTACAAAACACAAGTGTAACGGGGGCTCGGCGATAAGACAATTTGTATTCTTCTTGCTCCTGACAAGTTTTTTATTTACTTATAATTTCTTTCCGTTATTTTAACAAACAGAATGCATGTATAAATATATATATATATATATATATATATATATATATATATATATATATATATATATATATATATATATATATATATATATATATATATATATATATATATATTATAAAGTTGAGAAAGAGCAGCGTTTCTTCACTGAAAGAATTGCTGGTCTGTTATCAGTTTTCTATGATATGCGTCTACCCACACTAAAGCTTAAAACGTTAGAATATTGACGACTGTTTAAAGATTTAGTTTTATGCTACAAAATTCTTAATGGTAAACTGGACACTGAGCTATCAAACATTTTTATTCTCAATTCTTACTTGAATAATGGCGGTCATTACTTGAAACTGTACAAACACCATTGTAGTTTAAACAGCACTAAGTGTTTCTTTTCTAATCGAATTGTTAATGTATGGAATAATTTATCGGAGAATGTGGTGTCTGCATTGTCTTGATGTTTAAGAAACGTCTTGCTGTACTGCTTTTCTCAAGTTAATACAATTTTTGTTCTAATTTGTCCAGCACTTGATACAATTTAACGTTTCAGTGAAAAAAATTGTGTTAGTATATACTCAGTGTTAGTGGCTTTCGAGTCCTTCTGTTGTTTTCAAATGAATAAAGAAAATTTTTCTCCAATGAACCTTTCTTTCAACAACATTATCAATAAGAACATTGAAGAATTCTCTTTGATAACGTTCTTCAAGATCTTGGATAGGGTCATCATTACTTTGTAAAAAAATAACTTTTTTTTTGGGCGCTCCTAAGGAACTTTTAGATCTGAATCTTTTGCTTGCATCAATTTGCTAATTACATTAATACAAAAAAATATCTTATACCAGGCAATTAGTGAAACTAGAAAAAAAATAATTTCAATTGATTTCCAAGCGTTTCAGCTTTTTGGCATTTGGCAAGAAAAAAAATCGCTAATTATTATTTTATATAATGCGTCGTATATTTCTCCTACATCTTAACGCCAGTGCTTTAACACTGTATATGCGTGCTTCCCACCGAGTGTCTGAAAATGACTTAAGAGTTAAACCTTCTTTTTGCTTTCTTGCACTGCATAATAATTTTATATTTAATTAAGTTAGTTAAAAGATTACTCATTTCATTTTGTTTTTACCAAGAAAACAAACAAAATTTTTTGATTTAATTTGTCTGATGTGCTCCTGCAAAATCGTATCATATTTAGCCAGAATTTTAACTCGTAATTATTTGTATGCTCTAGCTTTTGAATTGGTACTTGAAAAGATATATTTCCTTTAGCTAAGAAATGTGTAACTGAAAGAAGTCTTTCAAACACAGCTGCCCATCTTTTACCATCCTGATCTACAACTTTTTCATGCTCAAAATCAATTGTTTAATTTTTTTTAATTGCATTTTTTGCAGTAATCCATTTATGCATAGCTTGCATATGAGACTTACCGTTTTCGTGAATTTTTAACTCATCTGACAGTTTACGCCAATAACATATTCCACCACCAACATCTGAACATCTGTTTTTAGATGTTGAAAATGACTTGCAACAGAAACAGAACACAGCATTTTTAGACTTTGAATAAACTTTCTAACGTCTAGCCTCTTTTTCAAAATTAGGAAGAACTTTAGTGTAAAAAAAAGCAACTATTTTTTGAGAATCTTGTTTGTCTTGAGGAAAAGAAATATATTCAATTCACATAGTTTGACAAAACTTAAACAATTGCGATCGCTAAGGTATTTAGGCCATAGTACAGGGTCACTGCCTAATGGCTGTTGAACCATTTGTTATTAATCATTGCAAGAAAAAATTTCAGAAGTTACAATATCATAATTGTTATTGCATTTTCCGATAACGTAACGAAAATTAAATTCATCAGTTGTTAGAATAACACTTTAAGACTACTGTTTTTTATCTTTATCTTTATATTCTATATCAGTAATAGTAATTTCAGTAAAGACACTTCTTTTATTAGCAACAACTTGAGTGAGTTATATGTTATGTTTACTTTCTAGAGATTGAGTGACAACTTCGCCGCCTAGTAAATATAAAGATCCACTTGGAATTTCTCCATTAGTAAAATTATTAGTATAACAGAAAATTTTATAGCACCAATCTGTTTATTAAGAAATACTGTTTGTTTCAATATTTTTTCTTTTCACAGCACTAGATTCACACTTTCGAATCCCGTTACTGGTCATTTCACCCACTATTTAAACATTCTCTCACGAGTTTATTTAAAAGTTAACTTTAATTATTCCGGTGTTCTGCAAAACCCCAATAAAAATCAACAAACCGCCATTATTAGAAATAATGTGGGTTTAAATCTTTGAAGTAAGTGTGGCAACACCTTGTGGTCCCACAGTTTGCACTAAACTTCGGCTTATGGTCGGCAACGTTGTTTTATGCTCGGAAACCATAAAATCGGTTTGTGATTGTGATAATAAAAAAAGTTAATATTGCAAAATAATATCTAATAATCCAAATAAAAAATTTGACTTTTAAACTATTAAATAAAGAATATTTTCATTTTTTATTCTCCTGCAAAAATGAGAGGACAACTAAAAATTGAGAAAGTGTTAGGCCCCGTTGCATGGCAACCTTTGCCCCCCCCCTCCCCGACGGACCAGCTCTGAACCTTATCATTTAAAGATCATAGATGTTAGAATTATCTCTAAATTTTTGAGTTTTAAGATAAAACAATTTAAAAAAAAAAGTTTTAGAAGACGACATAAAAAAAATTTTTCAGTTACGTTTTCTCCGCAATTCTTTTACTTATAACGTAAGTTTCAATACAATAGGAAAACATTATTCTGAGGTACGTATAACTTTCAATAACTCATTTTTAAAAAAATTTGAAATAGAACAAAATATTTCTAGCGTCGCTTTATAGATATATATATATATATATATATATATATATATATATATATATATATATATATATATATATATATATATATATATATATATATATATATATATATATATATATATATATATATATATATATATATATATATATATATATATATATATATATATATATATATATATATATATATATATATATATATATATATATATATATATATATACATATATATATATATATATATATATATATATATATATATATATATATATATATATATATATATGAATATATTTATAATACATTTAGTTATATATTTATATATTTAATATATTTAGTATATTTAATAAATTTATTTACACTCAATATATGAATTTATTTAATATAAAGTTATATTTCATTTAAATCTATTGTAAAGAAATATCATTACATGAATTCATATTCAAAAAATCAGTTAAATTTCAACTATATTTTACTATTAAATTTCAACTATATTTTACTATTAAATTTCAACTATATTTTAAGTAAATGAAATCTAAACAGTTAGCAGAAATTAAGTCCAGCAATTTCATCTTCGTAGTCGTCATTGCTTTCACTACCTTCTTTGCTTTCTCTATGATGCTGCTGCGAGGTATTGGATGGCATTTCTGTTATTAAACTAAATACCTCAGAACTAGTAGAAAACTTACGATGTTTCTAAATTTTTTCTCTTTAAATTAATACTGGAAATGATAGGATCTGAGATATCTAAGACTCTATGAAAAATATCTTCATTGACACCAGAAAGAGATGTACATAAAAATAATTTTAAACTTTTTAATCAAGCCTTTAATCACATTAGTAATTTCGGAAAATTTTTCAACATTTTTAAATGCACGTCGAGTGGTATTGCCATTGTTATTACTTCCAAAATCTCCTACTTTTGGTTAATCCACTTAAATGTGTAAATTTTCAAAGAACCGTTGTTGGAATTCTTCTTCTTTTTTTACATAAAACAAGTTTCTTACTATTAGTACCAAGAATTTGCCATTTACACAAATTATATCTATATGATATGTGGACGATAAATTCAAAAAACCGTATCTAAGCACATAGTAGACTAATGCCATACTGTAAAGTATTAGATTTAGGCTTCAATTATTCTTTCGTATTGAATTCTTGCAGTTTAACAAAATCATTTGAAGTAGCTCCACATATCGGACAAGCTTAGTTTGAATTTGTTCCAGTTAATATATTTAAAAATTTTTTATCAACTTGCGTCATAAATGAACTAATGATTCAATTTTCTTTCATTAATAGACAAAAATAAACGTTATTAGCTCTAACTTATTTATCTGTCTGTCAATATCGTGTTTTTTATTTACCTGTCTGTCAATATAGTGTTTTTTACTTAAAACCACGCAGATTGAGGAGTGTAATTACTCCATAGGATCTTATTATATTCTGAGTTCAAACCATTACAGATATACCATTTGTTCTTCATGTCAATTTACATTTCCAAATCTTTTTGTAATCAGAATACAAATTATAACTTTAATAACAGCTCCTTATCTAATGTTTTGATATTGTTGTTAAACTAGAATCCAAAATTAATTCTAATGCTTTTTCCAATGTATAACGTACTGTTTCTTTTTTTAGTGAAAATATAGTTTTTTTTATTTTTGTTGACCTTAGATAAATAGACTTTTGTTTGATTCTTTTAGAACCAAAACTATATCACGTATCTTTGGCTGACATGCCAAACCTGCTGCTCCAATATAGAAGATGTTTTGTGTGAACTATTCTAACATAACTCTGATGCTTTCAATCTTTTAATCTGATTTTTTGTGCTGATTAATTAGTTTGAGTATAATTTAGTTATATTGAAAATAGTTGCCTAAAAGCATTTAAATTAAAGTGAACAAAGTTAAGCATTAAACAGTTCAGAAAAATTTAGAAAAAAAAATTCAGAATGTTTAATTTTCATTCCATTAATTACTGAAATTAATGGATTGAAAAATGAAAGAGCTATCATGAGCGACAAGAAAAAGGAAGAAGTACGTCGAAAAGATCGCGAAAAAAAGAACCGAAGCCCAACTCATTTACATTTGATATAAAACAGTCATTTTTATTTTTGCAGAGTTTTGGAATGGCACTTTAAAAAATTCAGCATTACCTGCCGATTCAAGTGTGTAAAAGTGAAAATACACTACTTTCTGCTATTTTAGATTCAGGCTCTGACTACGCTGGTTTGGAGGATGTTAATCGCAAAGTTCTTAACTTTTATTAGCAAGAAGATATCATTAAAATGGCTCCAGCGCGCAAAGAGGTTACTATTAATAAGAAAATAAAAGAAAAGGTACGACACATCGTTTATATGTAGAGAATTTTATTTATAAGGGTTTTTAAAAACAAATTCGTAACATGCTGATGACCATAGGAGAAGTAGATTAACTTTTTTAAAGTAAGCATATGATTTTAAAAGTGGGAAATTTAAATTTTACGATAAGCAGCCGTTCTATTTTATACTAGAAAACAATTTTCCCCATAATACTTGCATTTGTATACACCATAAAAATTTCAGGCTGTTAACGAATACCCTTTAAAAGAAATTTAATATCATGTTAGATATAGTTGACAGATCTGTGAGTAATCAAAACAACCAATCTTATACGTTTATGGAATTTAAAGCGAACTGTGGGTTAGCAAAGTTTGATGAATATATATCTAATGCCGGTAGAGCAAAGACATCCTTTGCCGAAGTATTAAAAATTGTTGATAATATGGCGCATTTAACGTTCTAAAAGAACAAAAGGTAATCATTTTTATATACCCATCTGTAGACAACTTCTCCTGGCATGACTTGTGTGAGTTAAAACTGTTAGTACCGCAACCACACTTCGGTAACTGTGGACACATTATTATCAAGTCTCAGTGTTACAACTAAACTTATTGTTAAAAATTTTATATTATATCTTTTTTATCTTTTTATTTTTGACCGATAATAATAAAACAAGATTTTACTTTTAGTTTCCATGTTTGTTTGATCTGTGTTTGATTATAAAGAGACACATCTGAAAGTAATCCAGACATCTCCCAAAAAATTTATTTCGGTCCCAAAAAGGTCTAGGACGTTCAGGACATAAACTAAACGTACATTTTACGTTTTTTGTACGTCTAGTCTTTGCTTGGAAGAGATAAACTTTAAGAGCTTGCTCTAAATTTGCGAACGTTTGAAAGACTTTTTTTATTGTTTTTAATTCATTTACCAAATTAAGGAAATCATCGTTGGTAAAATCTGTACTTTAAAAACAAAACTCTATTGTTATGTTATTTATGTCACTGAAGATATTTATTACAAACTATAAAACACATATAGTGGCACCATAAAAATTATTCCCCAATGAAAGTTTAAATCTTTGAACGTATGATGTACCCTAATATACATGTTTGTTTATAAGTATATGGTAGTTATAATATAATTTATGTTTTAAGTATATACTACCACCAGGAATGTAATTTAACAACAAAAGAAAAAGCATATATTAAGAAAAATACCTAAAAGCATATATTAAGAAAAGAACTAGAATAATCCATGTAAAACATTACAATACTTAAAAAGAGTTTGTTTTTTAATGTCTTCCTAATCCTATGATTTTCAAATGCAACGAATTATTTAAAACGAGTAAAACTATTAAATATTATGCTTATCGTGTGATTATTTCAAACAAATTGTTAACCTAATATCACCTACCTAATTGTAGGGTATGGTTGAATTTGTTTTGTAAATGGAATAATTAAAATTCATTTTGAAGGGGTTGTTGTAATATAGGAATAATTTGAATTACGTGCAGATTAGGGAACGGTTTTTAGATAGAAGGTGGAGTGAATATTGTGATTTTTTTTTATATTTTTAAAGATTTGATTCAAATGCATTTATTATTTATAAGTATATCCTGTGAACACAAGAGAGCTAGAAAAAAACTCATTTCACAGATTTTATTGGATTTTTTAAATTTTTTTCTTCTGTACTTTGACTTATATTTATTTTTTCTTTTAATCACCGGGCAATATATTTACAGATAAAATAGTCACCAATTAAGTTAAAATTGGCTAGAATTTGGTAAAATTTTTTTGTTCATTACTTAGAAGCAGTACTCAAGGAAAGCAGTTAGGGGCAATACGCCAGCCCGTTACTTTTTGAAAAGTATTAACTAAAGATTAGAAAGGATGATATTTTGGAAATATTAAAAAGTTTTCATTGCTTTTTATTTTTGAAACCTGCTTAAAAAGTATGAAAAACAAAAAACTTCGAGACTTTTTTTTTAAAAAAAAAAGTTTATATTGCAACACTTTGTCAATTCTCTAATATCTCTTCCTCTAAATTAAGTTAATATTATGATAAAATATATTCAGATTAGGACATATACTATTTTATCCTAAAAAAGAAACCAATATTGTATATATTGTTGCGCAATTTGAAATACAAAAGGATATTTTCTCCAAACTTTTAGAGTTTTTTTTTTACCTTTTGTTTTACGTTTAAATGTGGTTCTATGTAAAAGTATTTTTAAGTTTTTATTTTAACTTTTCGTTTTTTAAATTGATTTGTTATAACTTCTTAACTATGCTCAAACTTTTTAAACTATACGTAAGATTGCTTTTTATGATAAATTTTTTTTTTTACTTTTTCTACTTTGATTAATCAATTATTTACTTTTTCTACTGAGACTAATCAATTAAAATTAAAATTTTAATTGATTAATCTCAATAGTTTATGTCCAAGCATTAGAAAGTTACAATTTGAAATATCTAGGAACTAGATTCTCTGAAATTTTTTTTATATTTTTGTTTCATCTTAAAATTGCTTTTTTTGCCCATAAATGATTTTAACAGAGTTTACCTTTTTTGTAGATTTCTTTATTTGTAGAAGGATTTTAATAGTATATTTTTTTGTTTGCTTTAAATGGCCCTTAATCAAACAGCGTCAAACTACTGTTAAAAATAGTAATTAATTTTTTTTTTAGAATGGTCAATATGGAGTGAATGTTCTACAACATGTGGAAATGGTTACAGGACTCGACGTTCTTTTGGAGTGATGAATTACGGAACTGAAACAAAAAGTTGTAAAATTATATACTGTCCAGGTACAAGTTTGATTATAAATCAATCCTCTGTTAAGATAACATATCTCACTTTGCGTGTTGCTGAATAACTTTTTATTAGTTTTGTGTTTGTTTTTTGTAGTTGATGTTGCTGCTGTTGTTATTGCTGCTGTTATTGTTTGTTGTTGTTGTTGTTCTTGTAGTTGTTGTTGCTGTTATTATTGCCGGTTTTTTTGTTGCCGTTGTTGTTGTTGTTGTTGTTGCTACTATTATTTCTGGTGTTATTGTTGTTGCTGCTAATGTAAAAATAATTATTATTTAGTATCATGGGAGAAAATAGGCATATGTTTTTTTAATTCCCAAGTTTTATTTAGTAAATTTGTGAAATTTTATTTTAGAACTGAAATACTTAATTTCGAAATTAAGTTTTGTATTAAATTTTTTCAAATATTTCTGCCTTTTTTTTATGTTTTCATATGCAGATATCTCATATTTTTTTATGTTTTTATATGCAGATATCTCATATTTTTATGTTTTCATATGCAGATATCTCATATTTTTTATGTTCTCATATGCAGATATACATTTTTTATGTTTTCATATGCAAATATCTCATATTTTTTATGTTTTCATATGCAGATATCTCATATTTAAAGACTAAAATTTATTGCAATCAGTATTTTAGTAGTTCTCTTATTAATATTTTGTGCAAAAAAATAGCTTTTCTTTTCTTTTTCACGCTTGGAGAAAATATTTCGATTTACTTTTTCTGTCAATCACAGTTGAAAAACTTATCAAAATTTTTTATTAAAATGATATTCATACAGGATATACATTTTTCAATAAAAAAACTGCTATCAACATGTGTTCTGTTTAAAAAATAGAACTTAAAACATAGGTTTTCTGTTATCAAAAAATGATAAAGAGTATTAAAAAAAGTTAAAATTAGTACGTCAATTCTATTTTCAAAGAAGAAGTTTTTTTATCAATTCGAGTTTTATCAAGTTTCAACAATATTTCTTCTCTGCTACAATTCTTATGTTTTAATGGTTTCGAAGTGATAAGTAATTTTTTCATAAAGTTTGTTATTCAAACACTTTTTTATAAATTACCATGAGTCTTTTTTTTATGATATTTTCAATTTTCTTAAGATTGTGAAGGGGACCCACTTTTATCTTTAGCTCTTCTGTTAAATTAACATATTTAGGCTTTATGTGTTGCTGAAGGATTAAGGTTGATGTTAAAATTATATGTTAATATTTGAACAATCGTTTGTTAATAAATCTGGAGAGCTGCCTTTACAGGAAGAAAGATCTTTAATTTATTCAGGAAAATCTTTAATTTATTCAGGAAGATCTTTAATTTATTCATGAAGATCTTTAATTTATTCAGGAAGATCTTTAATTTATTCAGCAATTTGAAACGAACGCACGCTTTTCTATAACTATCCTTAAAATGATTTTTAAAGAAAGCGTTGGATCCATTTTACATGCAAGGTATTTATATGATTTCATAAAGTAAATTATTTTTTATAATACAAAGTTAAACAAAGTACATTCTTGTTACATTTTTTTGCTGCTCTAAATAGGATTGCTTCCGTTTTTCCATCATTCAGATTAATTATCCGTTCATTATAACTAAAATAATTTACTGTTTAATTCCAACATTAGCCACTCCTAAATAGTCTTCAGATGTTTGTGACAATAGTATATGACGGTATCATCTGCATATAAAACTATTTTTGCTGACGTATGACGTTCAGGAAAATCATTTATATATAAAGCAAACAATAGTGGTCTCAGGATAGATTCCTGCGATCCTCCACTCGCTTTAGAGTATTTATTATCAACAAAAACCTTTAGATTTCTTTCTAAAAGATAGCTGGCATGCAATTCATGATATAGTTACAAGTTAATGAAATTTATACACAAGATGTAGTTATAAAAGACCTGGTTTAATTTTATTTATTTTTTTTATAACTATTACAATATGTTTATAAAATTTTATACTATACTACTTATGCTATACTTTAATACTATAAAACTATAAAGTTATAAACTTATATAAAGTTATATAAAAAAACTATATAAAACTTTATATAAAGTTATAAACTTATATAAAACGTTTTCATATAATGGGAACATTGAGAAAATATGCTCGTGCAGTATACTTGTTTATGCTTTCATAATAGAAAAAAATTAAATGATCAAGCGTTTTTCATTTGAAATTTGATAGTAATCCTTTCCATCAAATATTTTTTAAATTTAATCTCATTAGCATAAAATAAAAGTTTACATTAGGATTAAGTTAAAGATTACAAATATAATTAATAAACTCATAAACATATATTTCGGATCATTGTTTTTTTCTGGTTTATGGCTTCTCCAAAATCTTCCAAGTGTACCGTCTACCGCCTGTTTATCATACACCTGTTCATCTTGTACATCATCTTGTACAATTGTATCTTGATCGTCTGATTTCGTAACTTTATTTTTTAATTGCAAAAACTAGGGTAGAATTCTTTATCATTTTAAATGCACATTCATAATTCAAAATGAAGTTACACAGAATAACTTTATATTTAGAGAACTTTCTTAATGGAAATTTTCCAAAATTTCCTTTACCGTCTATGTTTATTTTTGACATTAAAAAATTAGTATCGTTTCGATATAACATACGCAGCGGTTATTACCAGATCTTTTTCACCAGTTTTCTTAATCAAATGTAACTAAGTTAAGAAAAAATGCATTAAAAATAAAAGAATTATTATTTAGTTATTAAATTTCTTGATTATAGCAAAGATAAAAACCTACTGTTACACAATCATAGTAGCATTTCCAAAATAAATTGAAACTGATTATGAAACTTACGAAAAAAGTTATTGTAGCAGGACTTTCATAAAGAGAGATCAGCAACTCATATTTTTTAACTGTGTCAAACGGGCTATTATTAATTTCTAAAACATTGGAGTTCATAAATTTTTAGTCATTTAGGACGATAGAATGTCGCATGAAAAGCTTTTTTACTTCCACGAATTGAATGGTGTACCCCAAACTCGTTTATATTTATTTATCGGTCGGTTTGCTTTCAGTTGTTTAAGTAAGTGAATCTAGAAAACGTATTTAAGTCTAGTTTAATTATTTAGCAAACGGAAAATAATTTTTCATCAGCAAAACAAAAATATTTAACAGAGTCAAGGGTGCGTTGTTTTAAAGTCCGCCATTTACTTTATATATTTAATTAAAATTACTACAACTGTTTGTAGGTACTCACACTATTGTCAGTTTCTAATTGTTTTTGATTAATATAACAACATAAGACTCTAAATACTCTAAACAATCTAATCTTATCTTTAATTTAGAAGCTATACAAATTGTTTGTCTAATATATTTGAATAGTTTGCTTAATATATTTGAAAAAAGCCTTAAAGTATAAATTTTAAACCTATAAATGTTTACGTTTAATTTATGTTGACTAAAGTTTTATAATATTGACAAATTTTATTCGATATTCTAAACGCTAGATCGACGTTTAGTAAACGTAAAGAGTGTCTCAAAAAATTATCCGACCACACAAGTTTTTCTTAAAAAAAATATTTTCGCTCTAAATTATACTAAAAACAATGAAGAGCCATACTTACTTTGTCTGTCATTTTCAATTGGCAATAGTATGTTATTTAGTGTTCATATTTTTCAATTCACGCATCAGTTTATTATTTGTCCTAAAATAACTTATTATTGAATAGGTTTGTAAAAAAATTATCCGACCACGCGATATATTGGAAAGTTTAATTAATTTTGTGTGAAGTTTGTTGAAATATTTCAGCAAATTTTGATAGAAATAATAAAATTTATTTTTTTTATTACAAAAAACTTTGTTTTTTTGTAATAAAAAAAGTATTGTAAACGTTGCATTTTTTTAAAGTAAAGTGGCTAGAAGTAAACGTCACTGGGCTGCTTCTCAAAAAAATTTTGCTGTCGATCTAGTCAATTAGGGTAAAACTTATTGTCAGGTGCAGCAAGAGACTAGAATTCTTCATAATAGAGTGTCCGACATAATGAAGTATAATTTAATCAAAACAACAACCGCAAAAAAAGGGTAGGGTTGCAAAAAAGAGACTTCTACGAGTTTTGACAGAAACTTAATTATACAAGTCAAGAAAAATAGCTTCATTTCTGCTCGAAAACTAGTTGAACAAGCTGAAGAGAAATATGGAATTAATTATTCCATCAGAAAATCAGAAATTGTATTTGAAACAAGGGACTTCAAGGACGACTTGTGCGCAATAAACCATATTTGAGTATGGAACACATGAAAAGAAGATTGGAGTTTGCTAAGAAATTCAAAAACATACCGTCAAGTTTTTGAAAAAAATCCTGTGGAGCAACGAATCAAAATTCAACTTTAATTCATCTGTTCAAAAGTTTGGAAAAAAGCCGGAGAAGCCTACAAATTAAGCTGCGTGAGAGGAACTGTCAGATATGGTGGCAGTAACGTGATGGTATGGGATTCAATAACCTGGAAGGGTGTTTAGGGGGAAGGGTTTTAGAAGTGTTCCACCCCTATAAAGAAGGCGATTTCTGACGAATTATATCGTCTAGTCGTGTATTTGACATAATTCAGTAAGGTAAATTTTATTTATTTTTTTTATATAGAACCAGTTGGTACTTCTGAAGTATTCAGTCCCCTTCACCTCCATTTTGTTAGTAGAATCGCTTATGTTTCTCTCGTGAACATTTTGTAAATATAGGCGTTTACAAATTATATTAAAAATACGTTCTATACCACTAATGATCTAAAAGGAATTTTTAAAACTATTGGATTTTTGATATATATATATATTATTTATTATTATTATTATTATTATTATTATTATATATATATATATATATATATATATATATATATATATATATATATATATATATATATATATATATATATATATATATATTAGGGTAGGTTGATTTGAGTTTTTTTTTTGAATTTTGAGTTGCGTAATGTTGCAGTTACTGTGTCTAGGTTAGAAATGAGGTTTTACC